CCGCCGTCGCCGCTGCAGCAGCAGCAGCAGCGCCCGGGCGCCTGGGACCGCAGCAGGGTCAGCGAGCGGCTGCAAGCCGCCCTGGCCGGCCTCCAGGAGCTCCAGGTGCTGCGGGAGAAGCAGCGGGCGCTGGTGAGCGGCGCCTTGGCCATGCAGCCCGCCGCCCAGGGCAGCCAGGCGCAGCGGCGGAAGGAGCAACGCCTGGAAGCCACCCTGACCGCCTTGAAGGAGCAACTGGTAAGGGAGCCGCCGTCGCCTGCTTGGGCAGAGGGGCTGCCCGGGTCCTCCTGCCGGGAGCCCCCATCGGCATTGCCAAGCCGAGGTGGGCAATGCGAGGTGCCCAGACGCAGCCCGGCTCTCTCGTGCCTGTTGGGACGCCGTCCATGTGCGCTCGCGTTGGGGTTTCTGCGGCAGGGCCGGAATTCTGCGGCGGAGCACGTGCTTTACACGCCCACGGCGGCCGGTTCGCTCCCGGGTGTCGCCTGGTAGGATGGGGGGGGGAAACCTCTGCGTGAAGTCTCAAAAAGCTTCTTCCGATTTAAATCGGTGGCAGACGGTGCTAAACGTGCTTCGACCAAGTTTAAATCACGCTCTTATTTCATTGACTCTCACCCAGTTGAATTTGTCATCCCCCGTTTATACCTTTAAAGCTTTTCCCTTCTGAATGGTCTCCTTCGCCTTTTTAAAGCCATGGGCAAATCCATTATTTCTGGGCTGTGCAATGACGAAAACGGATTCTTTCGCGTTTAGACAAATAGATATTGGAGGCGAGTTACTGCCGATCTGACATGTTGCACAAAGTGTCTGTGTGTGTGTGTGCATGCATCTTGCAGAGAAGCCATGTTACCACCTCTCAGTTCTGTTCCCCACCCCACTCCTCTGTGGTCAGATCTCTGACCTGATCTCTTAATGCAGATTTTTAGCTCTCTAATCTTAAGTGTCCATTAGGCACTGATTATTTTATAGTGCACAGGCTAATGGATGGGCTCCATAAAAATAATGGAATTCAACGTTCAGTGTAATAGTCTTACAGGTTCTTAGGATGTGTGTGAGAGAGATGAGAATAGCTCTTCTAATTCTGTGAAGTCCTGATGTGTGATAAGAGTCAGCTATTTAAACAAGGAGCCAATCTCATAAAATTGCATAAACATAAAAGCCCTGAAGCAGTTCCTGTGTCTTCCTCCCGTATCTCAGAGGTGGTTCTTATATTATTTTCCCAATTAAATGTATAGTGACATTGGCTACATGCACAATTTTCAGCCATGACAACTTGGATACTGTTTTCCAAGCCTTTTCCTACCTAGAAGTGCATTCTTCCTAGAAGAGGTTATGGCATTTGAAGTGATTTGAGTCCATGTAGTAATACAAGTCCAGTAATGGCTACATGTTTTTCCTTGGATTCTGTATACGTATTCTTGATCTGTCAGAAAACTTTAATGGGCAAGTAGGAATGCTTGGAGGCTAAAGAGGGCTCCACCCATTACTTGCTCTCTCTCTCTCTCTCTCTCTCTCTCTCTCTCTCTCTCTCCTTTCTAAGATCCTTGCACTGCAGTACTGTGTGCATTTGATCGGGCATAAATAATCACGTGCCCACAAGTCAATTCTCACTTATGGTGACCATTTCCAGGTTTTTCTAGGTAATGAGTACTCAGAAGTGGTTTACCATTCCTTTCTTCTGGAGGCGTGCTAGCACTGTGCAGCTTGCCCAAGACCACATAGGCTGGCACTGCTTTGCAGGAGGCACAGTGGGGAATCGAACTTTCAACCTCTGGCTCCACAGCTTGATACCTAAATCACTGAATCCAGTAATCCAACCAGCATAAGTGCTGTTGAATTAAGCAGGACAGACTTCTGGGTAAGCCGACATATAAATAAAATTTTGCTATGTCAACTATTAGATCTCTATGAATGATCCCACTGAAATCCCAGTAAAATTCAGTGATACAATCTAGGAAAAGGATTCCTTGGGAAATTTCAATCTACTGTGTTAAAATGGAGTGGTTATGGGGTTTTGTGTTTTAATTTTGGTCAGTTATTTGTGCCATTGTGTAAATAGGACGGTTATACTAAACATGTTTTCAGGCATGGCCCTGTGCATATTTACTTAGAAGTGAGTTGGTTTAGGATTATGGCTTTAAGGAGAATTGAGTCTCACTTAACTAAGTGGAGCTTTTTGTCATATATAATCAGGTCACTTACAACTTGTGGCCATCCTATAAATTAGAGACCTCCTCCCTATCTTATCATTAACAGCCCTGTTAAGGTCTTCCAAACTAAAAGCATTGTAACTTCCCTTACTGAATCAATCCATACCATGTTAGGCCTTCCTCCTTTTATATGGTCCCACACCTTTCTTAGCATTGTCTTTTCCAGCAAGCCTCATCTATTGAAAATACAACAATCTAAGTTTAGTCATTTTCACTTAAAGTGAGAATCCAGACTAGAGTGGATTAATTAATAATACTTGTGTGCTGCCATGTTGATTCTGACTAATACTTTATTTCTAAGAATAATGTACTCAGAAGTGGTTTACTGGTCTCTTCTTCACCCTGGGACTGTGCAGTGTAGCCAAGGCTACTAACTCTTCTCTCTAGGAGACACAGTGGGGAATTGAACTCCTGACCCCTAGGTACCCCAACCCACTGAGCTTTCCTGCCAGCTTGATTTGATGTAGAATGCCCCACATTCAATCAAGCTAGTATTCATGAAGCTGCCTTAACATCACATTTGAAACAAGCTGGTATTTTTTCTTCACTATCCTTTCACATCCATGCATTGTCATAAAGAATACCGGTATCATAGTTTCCAGCAACAAATCCTTAAACTTAGAGATATGATCTACTTCTAGTTCCTTCATAGCTAAATTTCTGAGTGTCATACTTCTTCTGAATTTTTGGCTCCCATCTCAATTTGGGTTGATGGTGAATTGAAACCAAAGCAGAAACAACTCTTTAGCACTTAGTTTCTCCATCATCAGTATTAAAATCCATTATTTTTTTAACTCAACATTTAACTGTAATTCTACAGTTTCTTCTTTACCTGTCTTCACTAGTTGTTTCAAGTTATTGCTTCTCTCTGCCAGAAATAGAATATCATCTGCATACCTATTTCTCACCAATTTTATGTCACCTTGTCTTTTGCTTCTCATGCTGTTAAAAGTGGGGTTTGCTTCTGAATACATACAGTTGTGTTCAAAATTATTCAACCGCCAATACTGTAAAGGGGTTTAGGGACTATAGTGTACATTTGGAATTGTATTCAGAATGAAATCCTACAAGGACGTTTTAAAGAACCAAATGCTACTAAAATAACATCAATTGTTTATGTAATACAGTAGTAAATGTTTCTTTTGTGGTTTCTTCATTGCCACAATTATTCAACCCCTTAAAGACTACCACTCTGAAGAAGAGAGGTTCATTCAGGTGTTTTCGAACTGGTATTGAAAACACCTGTGGATGTCACCGAGCACCAATCAAGCATAATAAGCACCAATTAGGCAGCTTTAAAATGACTGTGATACTCAGCTCCTTCTAGACATTTACTGGTGTGGTTACAAACATGGTGAAGTCAAGAGAATGGTCCAGGAAGACAAGAGAAGAGGTGATTTGTCTTCACAGGAAGGGCAATGGCTATAAGAAGATTGCAAAGAAGTTAAACATACCAAGAGACACCATAGCACGGTTAACCTACTGTCCAGCAGTGTATGGTATGGAGGGAATGGACAGAGAGAATCTTTGTCTTTCTGTTGTAAATTGGAGGATCAGCCTCTAAAATGGATTGGCAGTAGGTTCAAGGACAAACACACAGAGACAAGATTATGTACACAGTGCATAATTAATGTAGGGAATTTACTGCTACAAGATATATTGATGGCCACTAGCATAGAATGCAATCCTAACTGGCAGAGGTGGCTGAGGGCCAGCTGAGCTAACACTGCCAGCCTATAGGGGTACTGAAAATCAAACAGAATTGTCCCTGCCCTGGCCTAACATTGTGCTGGCATTGCACCCATGTCCATAGGCTGGAGGAAGCTTGGCTCTTGAGTACTGTAACTTGGCTCCTCCCTCACCTGCCCCTTTTGACTCATCTGCCAGTGCATCTTAGCAAACTAAGAGCAGCCCTTCTGACAGATCTCTCCACCCAGACAAGACTTGTGCCTAATCCTAACCCTTACACCCTCCATTTTTCAGTCAAGGTTGCACTGATAGGTAGCTTTTTTTTCATCACCTTTCATTTCTCTCCAAATATCCTTCAAATGGTTATTTTTTATCTTTTTACTTAATATTGTGTTTCTATGATAAATATCATTCCGACCGTTTGCAGTTTTGTCTTTTATCTTATCCATAACCATGTTGAAATCTCCTGCCATAATAACATAACCTTTCTTTACCTTTTCCATTTCTTTAAAAACCAAATCATAAAATTCTCCTTGTTTATTACTAGGTGTGTACCTAGTATATACCAAAGTATATTCTTCCAACCCCATTTTATCTTGCATTAGTATATATCTACCATTACAGGCTTTTACTACCTTTTCTACTTTAAATTCACAGTTTTTGAAAATTATAATTGCTATACCCCTAGATTTAGAAGTTCCAAAAAATTTTTCATAAATGTCTATATTGTTCATCTTTAACTCATTAACTCCATTTTCCTAATCCTAACCCTTATACCCTCCATTTTTCAGCCAAGGTTGCACTGATAGGTAGCTTTGAGGAAAAAAAAGAGATTAGTCAGAACTGAAAGGGATAGTTTTATCAACAGCTGTTGCCCATTATAGATAATGGAGCCTCCCATATTTAGAGGCAGTAAAACTAAATGCTGGGGAGGATATTGCTGCCTTAATAGGAAGGTAGTGGACTGAATAAAGCCCAAAATCTTATTAGAATTTTACAGTACATGCACGCAAGGAGGATCTAATGATTTTCTGTGGTTAACTGACAGGATGTTGTGCTCCCAGCAAACATCAGTCACCTTAATAATTAGCCTCAGTTAATCATGTTATCTTACATACTTTGTCTTGTATGCCCGTGAAATCCCAACAGAACTTGACCACTTTGGAACTGGGACGCTGAGAGGATGGACCTTGTTCTCATCCAGCATTGCTTTCCTTAATGTTTCATGAAAATAAGTAAAACAAATACAAATACAATCTAAAGCTACTATCACTCATTCATATAATCTGGATTGTAGTACCGCAGACCTGCATAGCTGAAAAGGCCAGTATGTTACAGTTC